TGATCTGACCTGATCTTGATCTGACCTGATCATCTTTGTTTGGCAGGTCAGTAAAGGCTCAGGTCCCATAGATTAAAGCATAGAGCAGCAAGAAGGCCAGGCCATAGTTTTAATGGATACTGCCAAGAAGGTTCATCCTCATCACCTTTTCTTTCCATTTGAACCCTTCTGCACAGACAAGTCAAGATGGAGGAGATTTCAAATCGGTTACCAAAAAAATCACATATGAAAGGCAGGAATATTCCTGCCACTAGAGTGGCAGAGAACACCCCATACTCCTAAACCAGCCTCAAAACATAGAGCAGCAAGAAGGCCAGGCCACAGGCCACAGTTTAACGGATACTGCCAAGAAGGTTCATCCTCATCACCTTTTCTTTCCATTTGAACCCTTCTGCACAGACAAGTCAAGATGGAGGAGATTTCAAATCGGTTACCAAAAAAATCACATATGAAAGGCAGGAATATTCCTGCCACTAGAGTGGCAGAGAACACCCCATACTCGTAAACTAGCCTATATTTCCCTTCACTTGAACCCTTCTGCACTGACAGGTCAAGATGGAGGAGATTTCAAACCAGTTACCAAAAATAATCACATATGAAAAGCAGGAATATTCCTGCCACTAGAGTGGCAGAGAACACCCCATACTCCTAAACCAGCCCATATTTCCCTTCACTTGAAGTGATCCTAGTAAAAAAGCAGCCACCATGCTGGCAAATGTTACAAGGCTGGTTCCTCACTGTAATAGAAAGAGGAACTGGTTACACCACTGGAACATGCAAAATAACAGCAACTTAAAACCGTATCCCAAAACAGAACACTGGGTATCTGGGGGCTATTAATCTGAAGAAAACCAAGAAATCTTCCTAGATGTCCTTGCAGAAAGTTTATAGGGTCTCAGGTAAAACTGAGTTACTGTATTTAAAATGGTGAGAGAAACATGCTGTTGAGCTGTGGGCACAGAGGGGGCACCCGCAGCCTGGCTGTACAAACACATCTACACCTTTCATTCAGTAGATGTGAGGTTTGGAAAACTTGGCTGTAAAAAGCACAAAGAATACCCAAGCATGCCCTGCTATTACAAGCTCCATGAAGCATTTCCAGTGGAAGAACTACCTCTGATTTTCTTTTCACAAGCAGATTGCAGCGCATGACAGAGATGGTCTGAAGGGCCTGTGTTGAGCATTAGCTACAGTCACACAGCATGGCTGGTTTTGTGGATCTCTCCTGTAGCCAGCATTAGAGCAGTCAAGACCTAGAGCTCTATAGCACAATATGGGACTCAGACATTTTCAAAGTTCTATGGGGATTGTATCCAAACATCCAGTTTAGGATCAATTTCTTGGCCCTCATCCCATCTTTCACCAACAGAGACACACTTGTATCTAAACTAACATAAAGAGGGTTCAACACTTGCACAAAAAAACCCAGTATAAGCAAGAAAGATTTTACTGGGCAAGTGTAGTGTAGACACATCCTTTTTAAACACTCTACATCCAGGTCCAGCAGGACAAGGGCTGCCAGTCCCTTGCACCCACTGAGGGTGCTGAGAGACAAAAGCCCTGCCCTTGTCGCTCACAGCCACGCACCAGACAGCGATTGTGGACTGCTGTGCCAGCACAGAACAGCAAGTGCACACGCAGCCACAGCTGCTGGGCTGAGTTGTGTGCAAGGCAGCTCATCGTTCATGAAAGCTTTCTCTGTCTCCTCAATGCAACAGCAGGGCCTGATTTTGTCTTTTCATGTGTACACTTGTTGAACTTATAGAGAATGTGAAAACAAGAAGCACAGCAGAAGGTGGCTTTCTGTAAGTAGAAAGCTCTCTCCAGAAACCTGACTTCTCATGACACCAGAGGTGATTGTTTGCTTGTGCTGCCGTATTCTCACTGCATCCTCATATGATCCCATCCCCCTCCATCCCAGCTGTGTGGTCATGCCATGACCAATAAAATAAGGCCTGTCAAGCCATTTCAGGTTCAGACTATCCTTATTATTCACCCCTGCGGATATTGTGCCTTTTAGATAGACGGGTGGTTTCACAGGAACTGCATGGGTTATCTTGCTATAGTGTAACCACAGTGCCAACCACAAAGAAAATATTTCCGCCCACATGAATATTTAATACAAGTATTTTCTTCATGTGGAAGGAAGGATAGCAGGGACCCCTGTGAGACTAGTCTGAACCACACCAACTACAGCAGTACCACTTTGCTCCAGTAAACACTGTCCATAGCTGATATCTCTCAGAGGCAAGACTTATCAATGTAAGTTTTATAACCTCATTCAGGGTGAGTTTACTGAAGTCAGAAATGAAATATAAGGACTCCTATTAGTGTGACCTCTCTATTTTGGGTCAGACACCAGTGAAAAAAAAAAATGCTCTCCCTTTTCAGTCATAAATTATGTGCTTAATTATCCAAATGTCAAACTGTACTTGCAAATAACTAGGAAGGTCAGATCAGAGTGAGAAAGACCTTTGAAAGCCAGTTTCAGGAGCCAGTCCTTTCCACAGCAGACATGAGTACACTGCAGTTGGATCTCACTGACACTTCTTGCAAGTTACTTCTACAAGGGCCATGAGCAAGGAAAAATCTTGTCTTCCTGCTTGGAAATGTTAAGGAGCATGGGATACCAGGGTCTGTTCTAAGCACTTGCAGGTAGACAGGATTTCAGTTCCAGCAGTCTCCTATGTGAGCATGTAACATACGGAGCAGGAGGTAATCAACTGTTTCTCATTATGGAGAGCTGCTCAGTCTCCTCATTGCTAACTACTTTTCACACTCAGGACAATCTCAAGGGAATAAACCAAACAGAGTGTGGAACAAAGGGTTAAGGCACTGGGTGTTTTGTTTGAAGTATTGCTCACAGTAAGAAACTAATAAATCAATATTAAATTGCAAAGTGTTCCACACAGGGACCATGGGCCAAAAAAGCCCCAGATCTTCCACACATATATTGCACATTTGTTTTGTCAGGTATGCCAAGCAAACACTATGAAGCCCACCAGGTAGTAAGAGAAAGGCTATAATGTAAAGCTTCTCAACCTTGATGTCACTGGAAGATGCCACCTTCCTCACCTGGGTAAAATCAAGCCAACAGGTCTTGCAGCAAACTGCTCTGCATCTCCAGAAAACATAGATGTAATTGTTTTTCCACACCACCAAGTGCTGTTCTTGCTCTCTTTTCTCATTGTGGGGAGGCAACACTCCTGGTTGTTATTCCATCTGCACAAGTTTCTTCTGCTCTCTCCCAAAGTAGGTCACTGCATAATGTTCTCTACATCTCAAATCATCTGCTAATTTTCTGTATAACTCTCCCATTCTCTCCAGGCTGTTTTTGCCCACTGAACTCAAAACCCACCCTTTTTGATAGCTAAAGTAGCAGCAGACTCCAGATGTGCCAGCCCCTCAACATTCATAAAGAAGTAACCCTTGAGCTCTGCATGTCACCACACAGAGGTGCAGAGGTTCCTTCTGCAGAGCAGAACTGGCACCCTGAACAGAACTGTGCCTGTGCCATTTTTCCTCCAGCATCAGCTTGACTTACCCCCACACAGAAAGAGCAAATGAGGTCTCAGCGAACCCAAATCAAACATCCCTTTTCCCAGGTACTTTAAGGGACCACATGATTGACTGAAGGGATTTCATTGTGGCTGAAAGGAAGAATAACATCCCTTTTGCCAAGGAAAAGACCTTAACCACTTCATGTGTAAATAGTTGCTGCCTGTGCTTTCACTAAACCTCCAAGCTCATTAGAGCTTAAATGCTAAATCATGAGAAAAGCCCAGGACACAGAAACATGGCAAGGAGACATCACAGCTTTAATCCTTCATAGGATTAAGTTGTTTAAATTTGATGAGATAGAAGGAAAAATAAAGGATGCACATGCAAAGACACCTGGTTATATCACCTCAGCAGTTCCATAAGTGTCTTTTCTTGTACTATTTTCTTCCCTTTTTTTTTAAACATTTCTAGGGATCTCAAGTGAGTCAAAATGTCCTTTACTCTCACGCACAAGAGGAGCTGCAAAACATGTCACAGAAGTTATATCTTTGAAGAGCCAGGCACAAAAACCAGATTCTGCTGTAGCATTAAACTTAAATTACATAGCACAAACCCTGAGGTTTCACCTAGTGCTGGCACCTTTCTTTTCTTGTTTCCAAACCTGCAAGCACTGCTTGGATGTGTTTTGTGCACCTGTCATCCATTCTTCAGAGAAAGAAAAAAAGCCTTGGGGCACACAGGTTCATTTAACAGTTGAACAGAGAGAAGGAACTGGGTGAGAAATGCTGGCGTCAGATATGGGCAAATGAGAAGCCAAAAGGGAAGTATTTTGCAAAGTGTTTTGAGTGGCTGGGAGTGGTCAAAGAAAGTTGTGCAAGACCAAAAAGCAGGAAGAAACATGTGGTCTCTACATGTCCATGTAGTGGGAGAGGAAACAGATGATCCAAAGACAAAACATTTGTCAAATAGAACAACTTGATCTTTTTTTTCTTTTTTTTTATATATAACTTTTAGTTTCCCCTCCCCACCATGAGTTTCTCTATGTGCTTGACTGTATCACTCAGTCCAAAACCAGACCAGAGTGCTTACACCTCACATTTATGTATGTTGGGCATACAACTTTCCCTAAAGCTGGGCAGTAGATATTCACTATTTGCAACCATTGCTTTTCCAACTAAACTGAATGTAAGTGTTCATCTCTGAAAATTTAATCTAGAGGCTTTCATTCCACTCCCCCAATAAAATGCATTTAGGGAAGAGGCTCTTCAGTGATGAGTATAACAGTGAACTAAAAAATAGCTGAATTTATCACATCCTTCTTCTCTGTTTAATTAGGGAATAATTAGAAGAAAGACACTGGAAGCAAAATCAATTTGATGCTCTTGATTTGCCTTTTCGTTTAGTAACAATTTGACTCCTAGGACCAAATTATCTCTGGGGAAATAATTTCTGTTACTTGAAGAGAATTTCTCCAATAGACAAGAAGCTTACCTTTCTTTCTTGTGTCTATGTGATTCCCTCCTTTTTTTCTCTGAAATATCTTTAATTTCATGGCATTTCTCCATTGGCCCTTCAAAAAAGATCTTCAAAGTGAGGAGCATTTCCTCTATATAACTAAGCTTCTCTTCTTACCTATAATTTTAAAGCAAATTAGAAATTACTTTACCAGCAAAACACAATGGAAACTACATTTTTTGATTATGCAGCATTCCAATTAGAAGAAAGAGCAAGAGAGACACAGTAAGTCTATGTGACAGAAGAAGAATGACCTTTCATCAGACCCATAATCCATTATTATAGTTCACTCCCCAAACTGAAAGCCAGTCATATTGCTAGAAATATTGTACATCACCACTACTATTTAAGTATTCTTAATCCAAATAATGATTTTTTAAAAATCATCATTTATTTCTGGGTTTTTTTTTTCCTTTACCCTACAAGATCTTTAACCTTATTTGAAACTTATGTCAAAATAAATTTTGAGGATTGTGAGTTTAGTTGAATCCAAGCTGTTTGGAATTTATGTTTTGCTTCTCATTTTTCTCCCTGGTATTCCTCCATAAGATTTGTCACTGGGAACTAACTAGGAAACCATTTCTGTTTTGATTTTTTTTGTTTTGTTGGAGTTTTTTGGGGGGGTGGGGGGAGGGAGGGGGGGGGCATTGAGGACTCATGTAAGAAAGAAGAAATGACCATCAATAGTTCCCAAGGGGAAGACTGGAAATAGATCTTAGTGCATCAGCTTTTCCCACACATTCAAAACCCACATGAAAATGGGAACCCACGCAGTAAAAGCCCTTATGAGCTTGTGTGCCACTTAAAAATTTAAACAGTCCTCTAATGGAAAAAGATAACCTATTAAAGGCAAGAATGCCCATCTAAGATAATGTTCACACTGCTCAGCCTGGTGCACCTCTCTATTTTCCTATTAAAGTCCTTTCTGCTTTTTTCTTTTTGTTTGGCAGCAACTGAGAAGCCTAACAAAGGTGTTGTTTCCTAGGAGATACCTCAGTTTCCTTCCTTGCCTGTATTTAGGGAACTGGGAGACACACAGATGTGACTTCTAGGCCATGGAGACAAAGAGCTAACAGCTTGGCAAAAATAACAGGAGCTGATCCGCTGGCATTGTATTTCATAACACTTCAGTCTTTGTCATTTGCATATAATAATCCAACTTTCCACTTCCAATGTGGGCAGCTCTCATCTTCAAATTTTCCTCTGATTAGCATCACCTCAAGGCTAACCATGAACCAACACCCTTTATTCTTTCTATAAAGAAACTTCTGGAAGGACAAAATCCACACCTCTTTTTACCCTGAGGATCGCCTGAAGGAATACAGTCCACAGCAAGGGAATACACTGCTGCTAGAGGGTAACCGCCCTCATTCTGGTGAAATGTGGCTTGAGAGACAGTGTGAACACTCCTTCCAGCTGAATGTTCAGGAGAAGATTTCTATGTGAGCACATCCACCTTTCATTCTGGAGGCAGGCTGGGAGGTCACGTAGTTGAACTACAAGTTGAACTTGTAGTTCAAGTGATGAGTGACTCCATCTTGGTGGAGAACCAAGGATGACTGATCCCGTCCAACATTTCTCCACTGCTGTTGAAACATGGGAGTCCCACAGTCCCTACATCACTCCTAAACACACAGTCTTGCACACCTACCACCAGTTGTGATGCTTGTTAGGAGCTCCTGGGAATTGATACAATCCAGAAATCCAGCAACAAATTATCTGAGAAAAAAAGGAATCTTGTTTTCTTTCAAGATAGAGATAAAGTTGCTTCAGTGAAAAGTTTTAGCAGATGCAGACTCAGCATGAGACTGCACAGCTGAAACCAAGATCAGGAGCAGGGAGAACAAAGAGGAAGAGAATCTCTTCCATTCAATAGATACGCGTTTGTAAGACTCGGACAAGACATGGAATTTCACCTTTGGCATCACACAGATGTTTCCTCCCGTCACTACGAAGGCATCCAAGCAGAGTGGTGACGAAGGAAGGATAAAAATTCTGTGGAGTACTCTGACAGAAAAAGAGAAATGTGTATGAATAGAGTTGTCCAAATATTTTTGTGGAAGAAAATTGCAGGGTGAGTATTTTAGTAAAGAGGATATTTTAATCCTTTTCTTTTTCTTTCTCTTTTTTTTCCTCTTTTTAAAAATATCTGTTTACCATTAATCACAAACAAACATTTGGCACAAAGAGTTGCCTTGTTAATGATTCAGTGCCTTGATTCTTCCAGTGATGGGAAGTACTGAAATTCAGTGTTTACAGTCTGGATAACAAGCTGTCGAACAGCAGTTAGGAAAACTCCTAACCTTTCTAGGGAGGAATAAAAAAGAGAAAGGGAAGGGGAGGGGGAAAACAAAGAGAAATAAATAGATCATTATACAGCACGAAAACAGATCACAAAGCTCATTCTTTTTTAGTTCTTTGCAGGCTCCTTTTCAAATAAAAGAGTGACTTTTTAAAAGCCTGAAACAGCACAGCTTTGCACTTCTCCTAAAGACTTCTAAAAGACTTTAAATTCCATGTGGCCCACAGCTTTTTCCTGTGAAGAACACATGAAATGGCTGTTGTGTCAGTGAACACTGCTCTCACAGCCAAAAATCTGTAACCAGGCACAGGTTTGCCCAGGAGCTGCACCCCAGGCCTCCTTTTATCAGTGCCATTGGTGAGGCAACAACAACAAACAGCTGCTACCACCACACCAGTGAAGTCCTCAGCCCTCCCATCTGGAAAATAGGCCTATGAGTTTAGAAATTGCATCATCCAACAGTATATGGCTCCCCACCTCAGGAAAAAAATCATCACAGTAGTAGGTCAGAAACAGAGATAGGTAGCCAAAAGCTTCTTTCTGTGTACCTACTACATCATTGTATGATTTCCTCCTCTCATGGACCAAAGACGAGGTATGCAGCAGCACTCAAAGTGCCCACAGTGGCCTGCAGGTATTTATTATTTACTGCAGTCTCAGGAGGTCCACACTAAAAGCAGCCTGGGGAAGCAGGCTATGTTTTATCCACCACATGACCCACTTTCCAGCAGCTCTGTCAAGCACTTCTGTCACCAGCGACAAGGCTGACTAATGTTCAGTGAAGTAGGTGATGAGTTACGTGGAACTAGCTTCCAGAGGAAATTAATTTCCACAGAGAGGCTCTGGCTACTTGAACTTTGTTTCAAAAAGGCTGTGCTTTATTGCAGTCTAAGTTAATGAAGAAAGGTAGCTGTCAGGCTGCTGCAGTGTCGGTGTTATTTCCCAGCCACCTTTCTTGCAGCAGCAGAAGCAGTGGAATCTGAAAACCACTGAAATGAGCTTCCATTTGCACTCATTTTAATGTTTATCTTCCTACTGCCACATCTACTGCACTACTATTACCATGGGAAATAATCAAACCTACTTTTAATACAATGCTGTGCATATGGCGTCTCTGCCAAGACCATTCTTGAGCAGAGGAACAGATTGCAAAAAGTACCACATGCTCAGCCTTCTGCCTGGGAACTTAGGTAGAAGATAACATCTATATAATGCTCAACACTTCTTAAGAGCACCCAAACTCAAAAAAATCTTATTTTTTCCTGCTTTTATTCTGCCAGACCTACTACAGTGAATCTCCCTCCAGGGTTTCCATGTCTCTCTGCTCCATGCTTAATATAGTCCTTGCATGCTGGAGGATTTTGGAGGCCCTCAGTTGAAATCTTAGTCCAGAGAGCAGGATAAAGATAGTATTAAGTGTATCTATCTGAAGGATGTGTTCTCCATATAACATCAATACCACAAAATGTATCCTAAAATTTAGGATAAATTACTTTGTGCACACCTGTGTACCTCAAACCCTGCATTACACCCAGGTAGGTTACTGCTTCTAATAACAATTACCTCAAACATCTCAGTTACAACCTCTATTGGCTCTCAACATGTTCAAAAGTATGACTTTCTATATTACAGTCATGTGGGATAATGTGGGGAAAATGCGAAAAGACTCTTTTTCTGTGCAGCGGCTCTTATTCCACACTGTTAATCTTGGCACAGAAAATCAGGCACACACAGCTCTGCTTGGGATCCTTTGCATGAACATTGCTGGAAAACACACTTTGGTGTGATCAGATTCTTCCCAGTAGTTCTTCACCAAATGAGTTAAAACACAGGACATGAGTTAAAGTAGACTTTGCAGGATGGAATTTTCTTATGGTATTTTACGTTTTTGTTTCAAAGGAAAAAATGATGAAAACTTGAAGGTGCTTTAGTTTACATCAATTTACATTTAGTTTACAGTTTACATCTCTTTGAGGCCCCATGTGTTACAAAGAATCAGGTAAAATCACATACAAACTGTAAAAAGAATTTTAAAAAGCAATACTCAAAAATACCAGAAATTGAGACATGTTTAGGCATATGCCTAGTCACAGGCCAGAACTAAAGGACAAAAATCTCCCGCCAACATTTTAGCTGGTCTAGGAAATGTTGGTACAAGACTAACAACTTCCCAGAGTTTATCTATCTTTACCTGCCTCTTTCATACAGTATTTTACATGTTTGGCTAGATACCATAAAGATGCACTTGATTACCTGAAAAGCTTCTCAAAAGTGCAATGGCAGGGGTTTCTGCAGTAAAACCCAAATGTGCAGCATCTTTCCTTAACATTTCAAGATCCTCTTATCAGTATTAAACTCAGCCATGTCTGGTTCATTGAAGCACATTCCCAGCCTTCTCACCAGTATTCCCAAGCTCTTAGCACTCAAAATTAATTACTCCATTTCTTATCAGACTGATGAAGAAATAAAGCACGTTTTTTAAACAATTATGAATTCCTCAGGTTTTTGATGTTGGTGATTTTTGCTTCTCAAACTTTTCTATGTAATCACCAACAACATTACCTTACTTTTTAAAAACACACCTGAAGGTCATGTGAAAAAATATGAGTCTAGAAGTCCATGCTATATTATTGAAAAAAAATTTTGATGAGAAATAATCTAGAGCAAATAGTCTGGGCTAGGCAAAGGTAGTACTTGTTTATTGGAGGGACAGGAGGTAGCAGTGGGATGAGAGATTGCTGCCCTCATGAGTAGGGAAACCAGCAGGTAAGAGCAGAACTGTGACTTCACATGAGCAGCCCATGGAGGTGCAGGGGATGAGCTGCACCTTTTACAGCAGTGGCATGAGGTACATAAACAATACAAATGATCCCTAAATTTCAATTTCAATGAAACTAAAAGCAAGAGTCAGAAGCCACTAAGTGAAGGACAAAAATTTGATTGTCTTCTTTGAGTCTAAGTGAAAATGTACACACAGATCTAAGTCTTGATATCTCACAAAACACAGCAGATGCCCATGTAGTAAAGCTCTACTACAAAAAACAAGCTTCAGAGCTGGGGAAATCTTGGGGTAGTATTCTTCCAAGAATAAATTTATGACAAGACATTTATTCCTGCTCTAAACTATTTTGGCTGCTAGAAAGCCAAAGGGCAGGGGAGAGCAGAACTCGTTTTATAAAACAAAGAGAAGTTTTCCTTTTTCTTTACACTTCTAACTAGGAACATTTGACCAGTGTCACTCAAAATGTCTGTATTTACTTCAAAGAAAAAGATCAAGTTAGATTTTCACTGGCAGCATAAATGATCTCATAAAAATATGTGAATGAAAAAAACCAAATTAAAAACCTGAAAAGACACAGAGAAATAGATTCAAAATGTTGATGTCTCTTCAGCATTCAAAGTTTTTGCTTTCTTTCTCTGGGTGCATCTCCATTTTCTCAGCATTTCACTGAAATTGCCATGAAGGCGGGATTGTTTGTGGGAGAATGGTGTCATGGCAAAAATTATTCCCAAGAATTTTACATAGGATGGGACAAGAGGTGCTATTCTCCAGGTGTAATGGGCTGTAGTCCTGCTGCCTGCCTTGTCCATCTACAGAATAGTGGTGGCAAGACAGCTCCAAAAAACCAGTGTGATTCCAGCTGGGCACAGTAATTAGGTAGGATGCTTCAACAAAACAGTAGTCCAGTGTAGAGGAGGGAATGAAAACTGTACTCTTACCCAGGGTAATCAGGGGGCCTTTTGTGTCAGAAGGAGGTGGAAGCCCACTGCTTGCAGGCATGTGCATAACCATCAGAAATGAACATATGTCCTAAGAATGAATCCCCTGTCATAATGAAACAAAGCAGAAGTTCTTGTGTCTGTCTCTGCACTTATTTCCATAATTTTAACCACATTCCTGTCCTGTGCATCAACTCTGGTCTGCACAGTGGGGGCAGGTCACACAAATAAAATCCCTGACATTTTGCAGCTCCTTTTAAAAGTCTGCATCCATGCAGGGATTGTGACAGCTGCTGGACCAACAACCCTGAAGCAGCACGCTGCTGCAGGTTGCAGCAGCTGTGGCACAGTGGGCAGTGCTGTGTGTCCCCTCCACGCCAGCCTGATGCAAAGGGACCACAGCAGGGGGGAGTCACACTTAGAGCCAGTGCTTTAGTTTCTTTGCTGAAAGATGCCAAACTTACAGTCATCAATTAATTTTATTCAGGGTCTCTCACCTGGGGAGGGGCAGGAGTCATCACCTCATGTCACCAGCTGGTGAGCAGGCACAGCAAATTTGTACCAACAGTCAAGAAGTGCAAAGGCAGATTCTGCTCTCCGCTGCATGAGTAGAGGACAGCTCTGATCTGCAAAGCAGCCTCTGCCTGTCCCTCCTATTCAAGCAGTTCAGAGCCTTTTTTCCAAGGAGACAAATGTTTCATTTGCATTTCCCTTTCCCACGTTGGGTACTAGGAAGAAATTGCTGACGGCAATCACACAGACTGTACATCACACAGCACTTCTGAAATCTCCTTTTGTGTGTTTCACAATAATACTGTAAAAATCCACAGTGGCACAGGTCATCCTCCAAGTCACAGTATTTTCTAAGTGAAGAAAAACAGGCAAGGCCTATGGTTGTGTCATCTGACTGCATGTTGGAAGCTTTCTCGGCACTGTAACT